AAAAAAAAAAAAAAAAAAAAAAAAGGTATGTGCGAGAGTAGGAAGAGAAGCTGTACGTGCACTAAAACAGAGGAAAACCATTTTTTTTTGTGAACGTACAGCTTCTCTTTTTTGCCGAAACAAATTCAAAATTTGAACGTACAGCTTCCTGAAGAGAAACTGTACGTTCACTGAAATTTTTAATTGTTTTGAATTGTTTCGTTTTTTTTTTCCCCAAAACAATTCAAAATTTGAAAGTACAGCTTCCGGAAGAGAAGAGCTGTACGTTCACTAAATTTTTGAATTGTTTTGAATTGTTTCTTTTCTTTTTTTTCCCCAAAACAATTCAAAATTTCATTGTGGTCAACAAAATCTAGGCATGAATTCCGCATAATCATAATCATTTGTTCATCTACTTCTCTTTTTTTTTTTCTTTTTTTTTCCAGTCAGGATTTTTTAAGAAAAACCGTAAGAAGATAGCATACTCAATCCTTATCCATAATGAGAGCGTGTTTTTATTTTTCCCTTTTTTTTTTTTATAGATTCCACACCGAAAGGGTTCACTCTCCACCTCCCCTCCTTGAGTCGTGCGACACCCAAGCGGTTCCATATATATATGACAGAATTAACTATTATTTATTATTATTTATCCAGAAAATCTGCGCAAAAAACTCCCCTGCTTACGTAGCATTGCATGCCGTCTGACACGTGGCATGGCATTGCCAGGTGTCTTTTTCTGTTTTGAGGTGTAATTTCCAGGAAAAAAAACGGCGAAGGCCTTGAGATATCATCATCCAACTGACCGGCTCAAGACAATTCAGAATGTGAGGTCTATTTCACTCATCTGCTTCCAATGGAGCTGGAACTCTTTTTCTTTTTTTACTCAAAGCACACCTTCCAGTGCTAGTGATGCTGGTAAGAGCAGACACCGCACCGCTACCACCTTGAGGAGAGACGAGACTCCATCTATTGGTGGGGACCACCACCTGCTGGAAAACGGGTCCAGCGTCACTGTTACAGAATGATTCAGAAAACAATCATTAAAAAAAAAAAAAAAATCAGAAGAAAAAACAGAAGAAAAATCAGAAGAAAAATCAGAAGAAAAATCGAGACTCCATCTATTGGTGGGGACCACCACCTGCTGGAAAACGGGTCCAGCGTCACTGTTACAGAATGATTCAGAAAACAATCAGAAAAAAAAAAATCAAAAAAAAAAAACAGAAGAAAAATCATAAGAAAAATCAGGAGAATATCCGGAGGTCGAACTCAGGACCTGAGTCCTGTATTTCGACAGTATTCAGGGGTGTACCAACTGAGCTAGGCCAGTTGTTGTATTTGCCAGGTGTCTTGCTCTGCTCGCATTTGATTCTTGGAGACTGTCCTTGGTAGTCCGAGGAAGATGCTGTTCTTGGAACACCGAAAAAAAAAAAAAAAAAAAAAAAAAAAGAGCA